TTTTCATGTGAAGCGCAATTTNAGTTAAAACAGAGAAAAAAACAAGAACAGCCAACAGAACAGAGATTAACAAAAAAACAGAGCAGAAGCAGAATATAGAAAACAGAGCAGAACAGAGAAAAGATTAACTGGAAAAAAATAGAAAAGAAAAAGAAGAGAAAATAGGAGAGAGCAGGTAAAGCAGAGAAAAGCAGAAGAGGAAGAGAAGAGAAGAGAAGAAAGAGAAGAAGAGAAGAAGAGAAGAAAAGCTTACCTGAAGAGAAGTCGCAACAGTCTAGAGAAGAGGAGGAGAAGTCGCAACAGTCTAGAGAAGAGGAGGAGAAGTCGCAACAGTCTAGAGAAGAGGAGGAGAAGTCGCTAGGTTTGCGGCAATCACTTGAAGCAGATGTTTTGGAATAAAGGTCGCGTAAGAGTGTATTTGCAAAAACAATTATAAAAAAAAAACCAGGCAGCTGTCGACCTCGCTTAAGCGAGCTTTTCTCGCTTTTCTCTTGCGCCTCGCTTCTCACTTTTTTGCCTGAAACGTGTGCTTTTTATCATATGCCTCGCTTTAGGGCAGAAAAGCGCAAGTCTTGCGCCTCGCCTCGCTTCTGCGCTTTAAGCGAGAAGTGCACGCTTTTAATAACACTGGGACGCACATTCGTCTTAGCATCCGTATCTCTGCAACACTCAAATAGTGAATATGTTGGATTTTCGCCCAACATTCACTCTATATAACATTGCCGGTCTTATAGCTATTTTATAGAACTTCCTTTCACTTTGGTAGGCAACCTTTTATCACATAGCACCTCGGTAGCACTTAACCATTTCAACCATCCGATTGTAATCCTATGAGTAACATCTTCATCTATCATTCCATTCTCTTAAAACAACAAGCCTAGATATCTAAATTGTTTGCACTTTGGCATCGCCATCCCATTTAGTCTCACCTCAACTTCGTTCTTCTCATGCTGACTAAACTTACAGTGCATGTATTCAATCTTACTTCTACTCATCCCAAAACCTTTATTCTATAAGGTGCTTCTCCATAGCTCAAGCTTTTGGTTTGACACCCTCGCCAATTTCATCAATTAACACAATATCAAAAACAAATAGCACACACCAAGGAACCTCATCTTATATCGTATTGGTTAGCTTATCTATAACTAGGGCAAACAAGTAGGGGCTCAATACTGAACCTTGGTATCAATCCACTGTTACAGGAAACTCCTCTGTATCTCCTACTACTGTTTTCACACTAGTGACAGTTCCTTCTCCAAACATGATCATTCCAATTCTTCCCTCTTCATACATCACTCTTAGAGCTTGACTATACACACTTTATGGCAGTAGTGTTCGGACCAGCTTGCGCCATCTCGACTAGTTCTACCGGGCATCTACTACCTTCCACCAGCACAGTACACGTAACTCTATCTCCCAAGGTTTAGACACACACGTACACATATAATTGAAAGATCTCCTCTATTGCACAATTTGATGATTATGGTACTTTATGCATAAGGTCAAAGTACTTATTATGAAGATAAATAAGATTTAAACTAGAGCATAGACTTGACTAGATTGTTGGATTTGTGATTTGACGTTGTCACCGGAAAAAAAATGTATGTATGTTCTCCCTTTTATAGCTTTCAAATAGTTAAGTAGCAACCAATCCATTAATGCGCAGCCTCTTCTTTGTTACTAATCAACTAGATAGACCAGTTCTCTCTCCTACCTTCGGTGTGCCTGTGCACCATGTGTCTCCTAGAGAGGAACAGTAGTTCAAGGGTAATCTATCATGTGTCTCCAAGACGAATAGCAAATAAATTTGTCCCTAATAAATGAAGGGATAAAAGACAGTTTTTCCTCTCAATAAAGAGAATACACTCTTAACTCACAGGAATCAACTTTTTCATGGTATGAAGCAATAAAGGCATTTGTGACCATAAATCAGAAGTGATAATTTGGCAATTGGAGAGCTGGATGCGAGTCAGACTGTTATATCGTGAATTTGTAGGAGAAAACTAGGAAGCCCTTGTGCCTAAACCAATTCTAGGGGCCAACCATTCTCCAAAATTTCATATAAGCACTGACAGAGACCTTGACACCCATAACAATGAGAAGATGAATAGAACATTCATCGCAATGCTTGCTTAATTCACACGAATCATTTCCCAAGCAATCTCAAAGTATTGCTAGACTATTTCATGTTGTTCATCTTTATATTCAACTCAATTACAATTGAAGGAGAGTGTTGCATGACTAGTTGAAACCTATCTTTATTATTTCCTGAGAAAGACACCAGTACCAAAATTAGCATTCCAACTCCATCCTCCAGACCCAAAGGTGAAAAGGAACTCAATGCCTTGATTTCTGATATCAAATTTGGAGAAGACTCAAAAGGGAGCAGCAGGGGCAGCTGTATGAATCGAAGATGAAGATGAAAATTTGTAGCTGGACTATCAGGGGTATAAACAATCACAAAAAGAGGAAAACAATTAAAATGCTGGTGAAAAGATGGAATGTTGACTTGCATTGTTTTCAAGAACCCAGCCTATGACAGTGCAGGATCGCTGCCCAATCATGCTGGAATGTAGTGAATTTGAAAAGAACAAGTCCTATTTTAAGTTCGAGAATATGTGGCTCGAAGACGAATCTTTCATTGACTTGGTTGGAAACTGGTGGAAATCCTCTGATACTCATGGGAAACCAGACAAAATGTTAGCCAGCAAGCTGAAATGTTGAAGAAAGATATTAAAGAATGGAATAAAAAAGTATTTGGTAGACTGAAGGAAAGAAAAGCTAAATCCTTCAAGAGGTTGGAAGAGCTGGATGTTTCTGAGTTGGGTGTTCCTGTAGCAACTGGGAATTTATCGGAAAGGGATGAAATTCTTAGAGAACTTGAATGCATTGCTAACGCGGAGGAGACTTCCTGGAGGCACAAGTCTAGGCTGTGGATCCAAAAAGGAGACAAAACACAAGTTATTTCCATGAAGTTGTGACTGCTCATAAAGGTATAACTCTATTGATAAGCTGGAGACCAAAGGAGCTTGAAGATAAATCTGATGAAATCAGATGGCATAAAATAAACTTTTAGGAACTTGTTTACTGAAAAGGAGCATTGGAGACCATCATGGAGTGACAGCAGCATCTTGACTTTATCTCTGGAAGATAGAGAATGGTTGCAAAGGCCTTTCACCTTGGAAGAGCTTGATGCAGTGGTGAAGATGTTAGTTGGTGACAAGGCACCTGGGCTGGATGGCTTCGACATGACTTTCTTTCAAAAATGTTGGCACTTTCTGAGAGAAGATGTCTTAAGACTAATGAGCAATTTTACTATAAAGCCAATCTGGAGAAAAGTTTCAATGCAACTTTCATGACCCTCATCCTGAAAAAGAAAGGAGCTATGGAAATCAAGGATTTCAGGCCTATTTAAGTCTTTTGGGCAGCATTTAAAAGATCATATCAAAGGTGCTCACCGAAAAATTGAAAACTGGTTATTGGCAAGCTAGTCTCCGGCAACCAAAACGCATTTATTAAAGGAAACAGCAATTAGTGCTGTGCTGGTCGTAAATGAGTGGCTTGATCACTAACAGAAGGGGGAAAAATCTGGTGTGATATGCAAATTGGACATTGGGAAAGCCTTTGCTAGCGTAAACTGGGAATTCTTATTTAAGCTGATGGATTTAATGGGAGTTGGAGCCAAATGGATACAATACATCAAGTATTGCATTACTACTGTTAGAGCATCCATCGTCAATGGCTCTCCTCAAGGTTTCTTCCCCCCACAGAAATGTTTGAGGCAAGGCGATTCACTCACCTTATCTCTTTATACTCGCAATGGAAGTTCTCAGCATGATGCTTAAAAGGGCCACATAATTAAAATGGATTGAAGGTTTTCAAGTACCAAGGCAGAAATGGAAATAAAGTGGAAGTGCCGCATATCTTTTACGCTGATGACAACCTTGTTTTGTGTAGTGCAGATGAAGGGAACTCTTGCATCTGAAAGCAATACTATTAGCTTTTGACGCTATTTCTGGTTTGCATGCAAATTGGGCAAAAGAGCAAGCATATTTTCAGTGAATTCTGATCACAGCATTCAAAAGCTGGCTGCTATCTTGTGTTGTAGGATTGAGAGTTCACCTACCATTTACCTTGGTATTCCTTTAGGAGAAGAAATAATGATGCTAATGTCAGGCAAGGGGTGATTGAGAAATGTGAAAGAAACTGGCACCATGGAAGAAGCAGTACATTTGTTTTTGGGTAGGGTGACACTAATGAACAGTGTCTTAGATGGGGTTTCCATACACATAATGTCCCTTTTTCCCATCAAAGGCGGATCTAGGATATAAAGGTGGCGGGTTCCATAACTTTCTTTAATGTATACCTTTTAATGACTAATACGGAATTTGTTAGGAACATTTATTCGACTTTTTTGAGTTCACAACAACAACAACAACAAACCCAGTTTAATCTCATAAGTGGGGTCTGGTGAGGGTAATGTGTACGCAGACCTTACCCCTACCCTATAAAGGTAGATAGAATGTTCCCGATATACCCTCAGCCTTCATTATAACAACACAAGTAAAATCAACATTTTCACTAGGAAATTACATCTTTTTCTGTATATTAAAAATAAATTTACAAAAATAAGATAACATCTTCAAGAAGAGAATTACATCATCAATCAGATTAAGAAAATTTAAAAAATATCTTCAAGAGATAAATTATAACCCATAAGTATAGAAATAAATAAACTACACGATCCCAAAGATCAAAATCATAAATCTCATATATTTTTAAGCAATGCTTACGAAATTATTATCATAACTTAATACTAAAGAGATTTAAAGTATATTTAATAACCATAGAATAACATAAATTTTTAAGATATAATATAAAAATTTGATCTCAACCAAAAATTCCAATTAAGACCCAAGTTTTTTGGATTTGAAAGAAGAAAACTCATAAATTTAAGATTAAGAAGAATGCTTATTTTATAGAATTTTAAAATCTTGGAGTCTCTTTTTTTGAGTGTGCTTACGAGAGACCACATAAAAATAATAGAATAGAGAAAAAAAAATATAAAAAAAATAAAACGACAAATAAAAAATTGGAAGGTAGCTGAAAAAGGAAATGACTGGGACAAATGGAAATCAAAAGCACAAAGAAACAGGAAAGTCGAGCAAGGTTCAAAATAAATTCCAACTTGAATTTACACACGAGAAAAACTTTCAAAAAGGTCTACCAGCCATGGCACCTTTGTCTAGTTTACGGCTACAGGTGGCAGGATCAGATATTTAACCTAATTTAAGAAAATCTCAACATAAGTATATAAAAAATTTATCATCATAGCAGGCGACATGTCACCCCATCCTAAAGGGGTGGATCGCCCCTGTTCCCATGCCTGTGAAAGTGGAAAAACAACTAGACAGGTTAAGGAGAAATGTCTTGTGGGATGGTAACCAAGAAAAAAAGAAGGCCCGTTTGGTAAAATGGGGAATTGTAACACGGGACATAAAATCTGGTGGTCTGGGAAAAAGAATTTAAAGTTGCAGAGTAAAAGTTTGTTACTGAAGTGGCACCGGAGGTTTAATGATAACAGTAACGGCCTATGAAAAGATGTTATTACTGTTAAATATGTTAAAAGTGAGGAATGGTCAACAGTGCTAAAAAGGCGTATGGTGTGTTTGTCTAGAAGTACATCAGGAACCTTTGGGATGAATTTTTTGATAGCCTCAAGCTGAAAGATGGGAATAGAAGGAAGGTGAAGATGTTGACTGACAGGTGGCTTGACGATATTCCTTTAGAAGAACAATTTACAGACCTTTATGAAATCTGTACAAATAAAAGCTGCACTGTAGCAGACTGCTACTCCACCTAGGGATGGAATCATCATTTGAGAAGAAACCTATTTGACTGGGAAATCGAAGGCATTAATGATTTGATCCAAAAATTGGAAGCAGGATCTCTTAGTGTTCATGTGACTGATACTTTGAGATAGAAACTTCAGAAAGATGGCAGGTTCACAGTGAAGACATGTAATAAAAATCTTTTGGGGAGAATGGAAGGAAATTATGATAGTTGGTTATGAATCATCTTTTGCTCCACTGTACCTTTACTAAGCAGATTTGGGCAAATTTATGGCCATTTTTGGAGTTCAGTGGGTCATGCCAGGGTGCATTAAACTTGCTGTAAGTAGCTGGTATGAGCAGTACTCAACTAAGGACATAAGACTATATTGGAAAGCAATTCCTACTTGCATTTTCTGGAATATCTGACAGGAAAGAACAACAGATGTTTTAATGGTAGGAGAGAATCTATACGTTTAAAGAGTCTTTACTTATGGTGCAGGAAGCATATTGTATCTGATATGAACTCTATGTTAGATCTTTTGCCTTCCTTCAACATACAGAAGGAAAGCTTCTCTGCCGTAATCTTTTTGGTTACCTTCTTAGTACACTCTTTAATAAAATCATTTACCTTTTTCATCAAAAAAAGAATTTATAAGATAGATGAAATGCTCAATACAAAGGGCACCAAGATCAAATGATTAAAATGTGCCAATAGATAATTATTTATCCAAAACAGCTGAATCCAACAAGCACCTTTTGTAGCCATTTCTTTATTCGGGTAAGCTGCAAGGTATCCTCCTTGGTCCTTTTTTTATTGTTTTTGATATCACATATCATCTCAAGCATGAACTCCATCTGCAACAAAACCAGTATGCAAATATACAGATTAACGAGGTTCCAGAAACGTATGTGGTCAGCAAAGGCAGAATAAGAAGCAACCTTTGTAACAAAGCATTAGCTTACCCTTTTCCCGATAGTGTTTGATTGCCCTTCTCCAGATGAAGTTTTCACTTCATTCACCCTATTCTGAACGCTAACTATAAAGTTCTTCATGCCAACGGGATCATCACCTCTCAATTTCATCCCACAAGCTGTTCAGCAAAATCATGTAGGATTAAATATATAATACTCGAACTAATCAGAACTGGAAAAAAAATAAGTTGCCAAAATACATTGTATTTTGCCACATTGATACAAGAACCAGTTAGCTTTAAGGAAATTACTAAAACATTCCCATGATAATGCGAGTAATTCCACAGTTTATACGCCTTGTTCCTTCTGATATTCATTGTTCAAATTTTTCTATCCTTATAATTGATTTTCTAATGCTTATTTTGCATTCTACACAACACGAAGGTAGGAATTAGATATCTAATTTAAAGCTTTTAGATACCACTTTCTGGTATAAAAAAATTTGTTAGATACCCTATAGAGGTATCATATGAGCCCAAATAAAGGTCATCTTATCTATTCTCTTTTTAGCATAAAAGCTGACAACCAAACTTTTAATTTAAAATGTTGAATTTTTAACAAAAGTGGAGCATTCTTCATGTTTGGAACATACAAAGATAGCAAGAAAAAATTCGTTTATGAAATTAATTATTTGCCCAGGTTAAGAAAACTTTTTTTTTGGTGAAAAGAATGTTGAATCATAGAGTTATAAGAGATGAAGGGAAATAAGTCACCATGAATTAACACTGCCCGGTAACTCATGAATAATTTGTTAAAATTTCTCACTAATGCTCAAGGAAGAGAGAACAGGCCAGGGAGTAAAGAAGGAGAAAGTAATTGGATGATCAGATCATTCCAAGAAAGAAAGCCACAGTCAGAAGGTAAGTTTAATACCTTGTAGAACTGTCAATATGGTAGAAACATCCACTTCTGTCAATCTCTTGCTCAACGTCACCAGGAAATCATATATCAAGTCACTAAGAAGCATAAGAAATATAATTGAATTAATGAGGGTATGAATATATGAAAGTAACTAAAGACTAGTTCTCTTGATTCTATAAGGATTCACATCATAAAGAAGAAAAAGGACACAAGTCGCCAAAATTCACTGCAGCTCTTGTTGCTCCTTTGAGATCTAAGTGAGAGGGTATTCTCCTTTTTGTTTATTTACGGTAGCACATACAAGGCATGCAAGGATGGGAAAGAGGAGGGGGAGGAGAGAGAAGATTGTCAATATTGCCTCTTACCCACAGGGAGACGAAGAGTAGTCATTTGCTTTACATGTGGAAAGTGGTAAGTATTACAAGCATCTTTCTCTATGTTGCTTTCCTTAATTTATTTGCAAATAACATCTCTTCTATCTTTTCTGGTAAGGTAAACGTAACTTCATAAAGAAGCATCAAGTAGATGCAGGCATTACAAAAAAAGTGAGCATAATCTTCCGGATAGATTTTCCAACTTTCTACTGACCACAACTTCTGTAGGCTTCCTTAATGTTGTAAGCGATTACCCCATCCATGTACCCCCAAAAGACAGAAGAACGTGGACCACATTTCTCTCGCCATTTGACAGTGAAGTAGGAGGTGAGATGCATCTTCAGATTGTTGTGCACATATAGCATCTATTGCTGAGTGAGGAAACCCCTCTTTGTTAACTTTTCATGTGTTAAACATCCTCCAGAGAGGGCTGTCCAAGTGAAACATGCAATCTTGGTAAGAATCTCGATTTTCAATACTAACTGCCAAGGCCAATTCTCTATGATGTTACTGCTTCTGGACAATTTCAGGTAGCATGACTTCACAGCAAATAAACATTACTGCTGCAAGCCTGCAACTCCACACCAGTTTCCACAAAAGATTTACAACACCTCTAGTTCCAAATCTTGAATGTTTCTTCTAAGGAATAAACTCCAAATGTCATCTCTACTGCATTGATTAACAGGGGCATGTGAGAGTATCAGCTGATATAACTGCTGGAATTCGTCCTTTTGAGTATTAGCACCCAGCCATTTGTCTTCCCAGAATCTGACATTTTCACCATTCCCCAGCTTGAGTTGAGTATTGTTTCTAAATTCATCCCATAGCTTACTCAACAACAACAACAACAACCCAGTATAATCCCACTAGTGGGGTCTGGGGAGGTTTGTGTGTACGCAGACCTTACCCCTACCTGGGGTAGAGAGGTTGTTTCCGATAGACCCTCAGCTCCCTCCCTCCAAGAACTCCCTACCTTGCTCTTGGGGTGACTCGAACTCACAACCTCTAGGTTGGAAGTGGAGGGTGCTTACCACTAGAGCAACCCACTCTTGTCATCCCATAGCTTACTCAGTGTTATTAAAAGTGTGCGCTTCTCGCTTAAAGCGCAGAAGCGAGGCGACGCGCAAGACTTGCGCTTTTCTTCCCTAAAACGAGGCATCTGATAAAAAGCGCATGTTTCAGGCAAAAAAACGAGAAGCGAGGCGCAAGAGAAAAGCTCGCTTAAGCGAGGTCGACAGCTGCCTGGGTTTTTTTTTATAATTTTTTTTGCAAATACACTCTTACGCGACCTTTATTCCAAAACATCTGCTTCGAGTGATTGCTGCAAACCTTGCGACTTCTCCTCCTCTTCTCTAGACTGTTGCGACTTCTCTCAAGGTAAGCTTTTCTTCTCTTCTTCTCTTCTTCTCTTCTTCTCTTCTCTTCTCTTCCCTTCTCTTCCTCTTCTGCTTTTCTCTGCTTTACCTGCTCTCTCCTATTTTCTCTTCTTCTTTTTCTTTTCTATTTTTTTCAGTTCCATCTTTTCTCTGTTCTGCTCTGTTTTCTATATTCTGCTTCTGCTCTGTTTTTTTGTTAATCTCTGTTCTGTTGACTGTTCTTGTTTTTTTCTCTGTTTTAACTTTTCTCCTCTTCTTTTTTTGTGATTGTAGTAAATTCTATCTTATTATTCAATGGCATCAAGCCAAAAAAAAAAGATCCAGCTTGACTGTTCTGGTTTTTTTTCTCTGTTTTAACTGTTCTGGCTTTTTTAGTTGAGTTCTTGGTCATTTATCTATGCCTATTTAATATTTTTTATTTATGTATTAAATTGCGCTTCACATGAAAAAAAAAGCGCTTCGCTTCACGCTTCTTGCTTCGGTGAAGCGAGGCATCGTCGCTTTTTTCCGCTTCTCGCTCTCCAAAACACTGAGCTTACTAATAAATTTCCGTGGGTTAACTCCATGTGATGCTTGGACTGTTTTAGTGTGCCAGTAATCTTCTTCACCATGTTTAGCCTTTATGATTTGTCTCCAAAATGCTTTTTCCTCAGAAGAACATCTCTTCTTCTATCATAAAAGCATCATATACATTCTTGTTTAATAGTACACATCACAGGTTTAAGCAACTGCAAATTATGGTAAGACCTGAATCACAGGAGCCCGACTGAATGTTCTTCCACCGGAATAAGGTAAATTCGTGAATGACTAAAAAGGCTTAATTTTTGAACAATTTAACATGGGTTGTCAAATTATTTTTGGAATATTAGGGGCCCGTCTTCAATCCATATATTTTTTTTTTGATGAAGTAAATTAGATTTATTAAAGGGCATCAAGAAGATGCAAGGACTACAAAAGAGATAGGATAATTAGCTCCATTACAAAAGCCTATGCTACTATCAGGGAGCTAATAAAATCCAGAAAAATATCAGCACTATTAACAGGGGTGAGATAGTTCCAACTAAACAGATTAACTAAACACGCAGCCTTGAGGGAGTAGAGTGGAGTTGAAATGCCATCAAAACACTTTTGGTTCCGTTCTTTCCAAATACATCAAAAAATTACTGCTGGCACCATTTTCCAGATATTTTTGATGGATTTGTCAACTCTCCAAAAATACCAACTTTCAAAAGCTTGCTTTATTGATTGTGGCATATCCATATATTAACTTTGTTTCCTGAGGCTCACTTATGCAAGAACATCAGAGAAGTCTAGATCTATCTGATCCCACACGAATGAGCTAATGTCCTACTCATCTCCTCATATATCTAGCAACTTTACAAGTTACAGCAAGTATAGTGAAGGAAAGCACCACAGAAAATCTAACAACGAGAGTAAAAGAAACAAAGGAGATATGTAGGCATGTGTATAATGCCAACGTTGTCCACCTAATAATCAATTCAGAGAGTAATCAATTCAGATTTAGTGGTTACCTTGAGCAAACTCCAAAAGTGTACAAGTACGAGAGCAGAAGCGTCAGGTTCCTAACAGACAGGTTATCTTCATTCAGATGCTCATCCTAAATAAAGCATACAACAAGTTATTTATGTTGTAAAGTTATTTTGTTTTGACGTTATATGAGATGGGACAAGTAACCTATGCTTTTAAACACTACTGCATAACATATCGATTTTAAGAAGATTAAATGCTGCCTCCACTAAATTCCTTCTCCTTTTTTTTGGAAAAAAGTGTTTGATCCATAAAACTACCACCTGTAAATGTTTCAATACCTCGAAACATTGAGCCAGAGATGCCAGAAGTTTTGCGCCAAAGTCCATCCCAACCAAACATGCCATGCCAGCAACAAAAGCAGCAAAAACTGCTGCATACCTTTTACATTGAAAGTAAGAGAAATAAGTGAATTGACAGTGCAAAATCCAGCACCAGATAATAGAAAGTTGAGGTATATCAGTTATGACGGAAACATGTCAATACTAAGAGGATAGTCAGATAGCATTAACAACTAGCTAGTTGGTTATCACCAATCTTCAAGTGTTAGAAAAGGAAATAAAATGGTGGGTGACAAAACTCAAAGAGACTGCATACCTTGATATGCCATCCACTTATGATGTTTACTAACTATAACCAGCCATTACATAAGCAAATAAATGTAACTCGGAGCATAATGAGAGAAAACAATAAGGCATTAAGACTCAAGGAGTACTAAAAAGGTGCTAATTGTTGTCGGACTTCTGCAGGTGGAACAAGCTGAAATAACTAAAATCAATACACAGATCAGCAGAAAGATTGCTTTGTGCCACGAAACATCAAAAAGGTATTCTCTGATTTGCAGACTTAAAGTCCATCTTCAATCAAATTTTGACAAACAAATTTTTTATCAGTACTATTTTCAGACACTCAAAAGTTACTCAAAGTTAACAACTAGCTAGTTGGTCATCACCAATCTTCAAGTGTTAGAAAAGGAAATAAAATGGTGGGTGACAAAACTCAAAGAGACTGCATACCTTGATATGCCATCCACTTATGATGTTTACTAACTATAACCAGCCATTACATAAGCAAATAAATGTAACTCAGAGCATAATGAGAGAAAACAATAAGGCATTAAGACTCAAGGAGTACTAAAAAGGTGCTAATTGTTGTCGGACTTCTGCAGGTGGAACAAGCTGAAATAACTAAAATCAATACACAGATCAGCAGAAAGATTGCTTTGTGCCACGAAACATCAAAAAGGTATTCTCTGATTTGCAGACTTAAAGTCCATCTTCAATCAAATTTTGACAAACAAATTTTTTATCAGTACTATTTTCAGACACTCAAAGTTACTCCACTTAGCTTCTGTGAAACCCTTGTTAGGAAACAAGCAGCTTGAAGCAACGCTGACAGAAAATGATACAAGAAAATTAAGCTAATGTTGGTTCTAGCTTTGAAATTACTGTTCTATAGAAAATTATTCAGAAATAAGCTTTCTCTAGAAAATTAGACTGGATAAATTGACTTCAGAAAAGACAAGGCAAATGCTTACTGTTCATTGCCACGAGGACCTCTAGAACATGATGCCAAAACCTCTTCACTGATAATCTGAGAACCAAAAGTTCGACCAACAGCCTGCCAAGGGGGAAACACTAACGTTAGGTGTAAATCCAAGCAAGTCATTTTCTAACTCACAACAATAGAACAAGAAAATAATTTATTTTTAGGTATAGTCTCACTGGTCAGGATATTTTTAAAAGAAAAGGTATGCTGTTGTGATCAAGAAACTAACATATCAATAATCTTAATATGACAGCACGAAACAAATATTCATGAGAAGCTTGTATAAGTAGTAAAAGATATCTGAATGTAACAGCCACAAGTGTTAACTGTAAAGACAACAAGCAACGTCAATGATCTCTGTATTCTCTGAATGGTAACAACAACAACGACAAACCCAATGAGTTCCCACAAAATTCTTAGGATCTAACTCCCGAATTGCTAAATGTATTTAAAAAGTCACTAACTGCTTTATCAGAACCACCGAGTCCATAAGCAGTAGGGGTAATCTGAAACCTCAAAGACATACACCAATAAATTGTCTCAGCCACATATTTCACTATAAATTATGGATTCCTATCTTAGCAACAGGTAAACGGAACAGTACTGTGGACAGTGCAGTCGGTGATAGAATGTTCGGACAAGAAACCAGTCAAAATATTGGTGAAGAAACTCACAAATCTCTGAAGGAACTCCAACAAAATCATAAAGAAAGAAACTTTGCAGAAGAAAGAAACAGTGGCAACCCAAAATACAAAGGAGGAGGCAGGTAGCAGTCATCTCCCTATGTTTTTCTGGTTAGGAACGTAAAAGCTTCAACACCATCTGATAATCAGGAGATGGAGAACCTGGCTTTCTTCTTTTCCGAAATTGGTCTAATGAACTATAAAACCACAATAGCATACTGCCCATCAATGCTAGCAGAATCCTCTGTTTATGCTGCCTGAAGCAATCTCAACAGAAGTCCTCTATGGACTCAAACTCTGCAGCACCATACTGGCTTCTCAGAAGATCAGTTGATGGAATGCGCAAAAGCAATTGGTTAGATATCACGTGGGTGCTGCAGAAAGTAAGCTCAAGGCCATTTATAGGAAGTTGTCTAGTCCAGATAGAGGTGATGTCGCCTTCTTCCCACAAGCAAGAAATCTTATACCTACTACTACTACCTCTTCTTGTTGAATTTTATTTTTCAGTTTGGCAATGTTTTGAGATCATGTTACTGTTGTGATCTCTCTAGCTTCGACTAAGTGGTGTGATACTGTGATTTGAATTTTAAGTGTGAAAAACCCTTGGAGAAACTATGGTTGATGATTTTACCTACTAATGAAGTCATGTAAATACGGAATATATTGTTTTCGTGAATAAACTAGTTCATTCAAAAAAAATATTGGATGAGAATCAGCAGCATACCTGGTAGATCGTGGAAATTTCACTTGTGATCGATTCAACATTAGCCTCGGACATCCTATTCAGAAGACCTGAAAGAAATTGACTCTGTTAACCGTCTTCAGGTGCAAGAAACATAGATCATTTTGCAAAAAAAAAAAAAGTTTCCAAAGACGAGCAACATGAGTGCAAGTTTACCATACATCATACCTCTTAGTCGTCGACGAATTTGAGCATGCTCTTCTGATTCACTTCTGAGGCGTGACCTCAGGTGCGGAGCAACATATTTTCCATTTCCTTTGGCAGCGGATCCAGCAGATAAAACTTCAAAGGCACCAGCTGGTGCCTTCGAATCTGTACAGTATAGAGTGCTCTCAGCTTTCTGCTCTCCCTCTTGCTCTTGATCTTCTCCTTGTGCTTCTTTATTATATTTTTTCTCTTTAGAGCTTTCATTTGAGGAGCTCTTATCACTCCTTGGAGGCACTTCTCCAGCAAGTTGACTATTTTCATCCTCAAAAGAATCTAGAACTGAAGATATTCCCTCAAATAACATATTCATTTCATCATCATCCCCCTGTAATCTCCCTCCCCTCACCTTGAGCTTCTTCGCAAGCTTTCTTTCCAAAGCCAGATCATCATCTGCTGAAATAACCCTTCCATGCATTTCAGTTTCAAGATACTCCTCAAACTTCGTTTTCTTTCTTTTCATCTTCTTTGACTCTTTTTGCTTGGTCTGTAAATCTGTGTTTCCGTGATCAACATCGCTAACACATGAAGGATCAGACTTCCCATCCTCAGGAACAAATTTACCATCTAAAACTTCATCCACCGACTTCTTTTTCTGTTTCTTGCGCGAAGTGTCAATATCAGTACCCTCCAGAGATTCACTCAATTGACTATGAGAGTCAACTACAGAAGGAATTCCTTCAAGTAACATATCAATATCATCATCTCCTCGCAATTTCTCATTCTTCACCTTGAGTTTCTTAGCGAGTCTTCTCTCCAATCTCAAATCTATGTCCGCAGAGGTAGCTTCTCCCTTCTTTTCCATTTCAAGGTACTCCATAAACATTGTCTTTGAATTTTTATTTGAGGCATCCTTTCTTTTCAAACTCCTATTTTCCACCTTAGAAGATTCCAACCGTGGAGATGCCTGCAAGTCAACACTAGACTCCATAGAGGTCTTTGCTTTTTTATTTGAGCCTTCTGTCCTTTTCAAACTCCTATTTTCCACATTAGAAGCATCCACCCGTGGAAAAGTTTCTAAGTCTTTCTTAACTCGAACGCTGGACTTTAAGGAAGGAAGATGTTCATGTCTTTGAGCTTGGCTATTCTTCCGTGACTGGATTGCCTGTGTTGATTTTAAATTTGGCAATGATCTCCGCAATTTTTGTGTTTGCTACAACCCAAAACAGAAGCCAGTGTCAGAAAAAAAATCCAGTCAGGTTGAATTTCCATGCATTGTCGTGGATCTAAAGTAATAGTTAAACTTTATGTCAAAAAGAAAAATATCTGCTTAAATAAATATTCTATATCTATACTAGTATTTCGCNACCCCCTCAAAAAAAAGGAAGAAGGTGTTTATGCTCTGACATCAACCTAGCAATAGAAGCTCTTATTATAAGATATACTTTAATAATAATAGTGATGTCCGGCCAGCTTGGCTGCACCTCAGGCTAATCCACCAGACAGCCTGTTACAGTCGACAACAATTGTTTGCTAATTATGCCCACCAGGGCTGAATCACACTGATGTTAAAGTTAGGATTTTAACCTGTTATCTCTAAATTGCTACTCCTAAAACTCAACCAAAATCTCTTCCTATACCAGGCTAAAATAAAAAAACATGCATATTTTCAATGTTTTTCAAGCTAAATTCTGAATAAAAGAATTAATTATAAATCAAAAAAAAATAATTTACTTGATGTTGGAGCCATGAATCAAACTTCTTCTGCTTTTTAGCGGACCGAGCTTCTTTTCTACTTTCTTTACGAGACTTTCTCTTCTCTGAAATCACAACAAAAAAGCACCCCATCAACAAAAAATGAGTTCGAACTTATAAAGGAAACTCTGAAATATAGATTATTTAACACAGAAACAGACTTACCCATTATCCAATTCCGCTTCTAGCTACCAAAAAAAAGTGTAATGGTGTTAATATGAATATATAGAAAGAAAGAGAATTATGGAATTAGGGTTTGTGTATGAGTTTGCAGCGAACAAAGGGTAGCAGCAGCAGCAGCGGGAGTTAGCAGGTCTTCGGCGTTTGGTAATCTTGTTCACGTTACTTTTGCCATGATTTTCAAATGACTGTTATGCCCTATGTAATAGTTTCTGACTTATTTTTTCTCTAACCCCTTAGGGAAATGTCTTCCTTTTTTACACTTTAAGAGTATTTAAGAATATTAGTGTTGTCGTAGAGAATTTAATTAGAAATGGTCAAGGAGCTATTTGGAGCTTATTATTAGAACATTTAAATGAAAAAATTATGCTTTTAGCGAGAATAAGCAGGTCTTCATCGTCCTGCTTTAAGGGGCAAATACGGAAACTCATGTCTTTGATTGCTAAAACTGGTATGCAATTGGTTCATATTATCACGAACTAATTTTTCGTATAAGTCGTGCTGGCGTCCAACGTCGCCGCTAGGCAAGCCAACGGTGAATCAGTCATGTATTTGTTCTTTTTTAATAATTTTAAAGTAATTAATTTTTATTTATTAAGTAAATGAATAGTGGGAACTTATAGTAAGGTAAAGCATAAACTAATGAGAGAGTAAATACAGTGAAAGTAATGCTCAAAATCATAAAGTGTCTACTAGAATACTCCAAAAAACCGGTGTCATAAGTGTATGAGCAACTAGTAGAATATACAAAATCACTTATGCTACTGTCTGGAATAAGATAGACAGAAAGTAAATACAAAAGAGAGATTGCGGGTGCTGCAGAACGGACATAGAGAGCAGCTCACCACTATGCCTCAAGGTAACGGGGGTGCGCGCCTGAATCACTGTTAGATGCACCTGCCTCAGATCCTGCATGATTAGTGCATAAGTGTAGCGTGAATACATAAACAACATGTACACAGTAAGTATCTAGTCTAACCTCGAAGAAGTAGTGACGAGGGGTCGACATCGACACTTACTATGGGCCAATAAATAAAGTACGGAAATTATAAATAGATATGAAATACATCAATAATAGTAACACAATAACAAATAGTAAATAAGTGATTCTTTGACTAGAAGTCAATTTAAAATCTCCAATTAGCACATACTAGCTTCAACAAATACGGGCCATCAAGTAAACTATAATTTATCAAGTCATGGAAGTAATATCAAGTGTAATTGGACTCCGAGCATTATCACGCACGTTTTATGCCGAGGTCATACGGCCCAATCCAGAATAATGTGTACACTGCCGAGAGTCGACCGGCACAAACCATAGATGCATCTATTATACTGTTGAGGCGTTCGGCCCGCTCCACAAGAAGAGAGAATACTCTACGAACATCTGATTCAAAGGCTATCACAAGACTAATACACAAGGAGGCACAATTTCTACTAACGGTCAAGCAACCCGCCAAAAGTACAGTACAAACAATACAAGTATTTCATGATAGGGTCCTAAAACTACCCGAACATAAGCATGATTTGTAGATACGCACGGACTCTCGTCACTTCGTGTGTACGTAGCACCCACAATTAGAAGAAAATAGTAATTTAAAATACATATGGGGTAAATTCCCTCTTACAGGGTTAGGCAAGAGACTTACCTCGTCCCAAACCTCACTTTCGGTTCACAAATTAACTTAAATCCTTAAGCCGGTGCTGAACAATCCGAAACTAGCCAAATATTATATAAATTAATCAATATATGCTCAAAAGTTCATAATTTAGCTCCTGGAGTAATTACCCAACCCAAATTAAAAAATTCCTAAAACTCACCCTCGGGCCCACGTGCCCGGATTCTGAAATTTTTTGAAGATAAAAGCTACCCATAGCCTTACGAACCCAAATATATAACTTCTACTCAATTCCATAATCATTTTCGTGGTTTAATCCCATTTTTATCAAAACCTAAGTTTTTCAACTAAACCCATAATTTCTACAATTTACATGTCAAGAAGCTACCCAAAATCTGCACATTAAACTCACATTAAGTAGTAATTACTTACCTCACGATGATAGGCGAAAAATCCCTCTCCAAGAGCTCCTCAATCGACCACCCCAAAATAAAATGAGATAAAAACCTACCTAAGTCCGATATAAATGCACCTTACTACCCAAGCGATTTTCGCACATGCGGCTCCGCTTCTGCGGACATATCATCGCAGGTGTGAACCTTGCCCAGGCCAGCTGATGTTCGGCTATAATTTCATATTTTAGTACATTATTTACCTTACATTTTAGGTGCTTTAATGCCAAACTATATTTTATTTGCGTGTAATAGAGTATATTTTATGTGTAGATACATTGGAGATGAAATTAGAGCAAAAGGAAGATTTAAAGTATAAAGCGTGCTCGAAAATAGTTGGAAAGAAGAAAGAAAGAAGTGAGCAACGGAAAAATGAAGAAGCTGGCGAAGCGAGCTATGGAGCTCGCATTAGAGCTGGCGAGGCGAGCCTCTGAGCTCACGTGGGAGCAGGCGATGCGAGGGGTAAGGCGAGGATGAGCGTGCTGAATGCCTGACGTCGCACGGTATGGGGCGAGATGCATCTCGCGTTTTACCTCGCGAGGCACGGTAAAGAGCTATTTCGTCTCCTTGTTTGACTAGGACTTGGGATATGTCGTTTAGGTCTTTTCCTACACATATAAATATTAAACACCACTTTTGAAGAAGTTTTGCGACCGGAGGCAAGAATAGCTCGTGGAACACCCGTTGGGGGATAGAATCATCGATTTCTACATTCCTTCATCTTTACTTTGTAATTTATTTATGCAAAATACTTGGGAGATTGTTACTATGAGTATGAGTAGCTAAACTTCTAATCTAGGGTTTTGATGGAACCTATTGGAGGATGATTTTCGTGTTACGTTAATATAGATTTGCAGTAGTTTCTCTCTATTTGTTCAACTACGTTTATATTGTGGTTGGCTGAAGAGCTCTCAACCAACTGTGCCTATTTATGTGTATTACTTGGAAGAGAGTGCATATTTAGGTAGTTGTTGAACAACATCACTCCTAACGTATATGAGGGATCAATACGGAGGGTTTAAAAGTGGGATTAGGAATAACGAAACCTCGGTGCAATCCGAGTGAGCCGTAACTTAGTGCCAGCTAGCGTAATTCGGAAGAATATGTCTAGTAAATTGTGGTAGTTACTCGGGAGAGAATTACGACACTCAGAGAGCTCATGATCGGTAGAGAAAACTTAGGCAAATTTATAGGAAACGTAGAGGAAAGGATTCCAACAATAGGGGAAATCAAAACCTTAGACCATTCCAATTCTTGTCTACAACCCGTTCGTAGTTAGTTATTAATTACTGTACTTTTATTACGTGATATTTAGTTAGTAAACATCCAATTTGTTATTTAAATATTTTTGAATATTAATTACGTGAATTTGTGCGAGTTTAGTAGTTGTGCTTAATAAGTTAATTCCCTGTGGGATTCGACTTCGGACTTGTTAACCGGAATATATTTGCAGCGACCGCTTAGTCTTTTTTATAAGGCATAGTTGGGCGTGACCAAATTTTGGCGCCGTTGTCGGGGATGTATTGTATAAAAAAAATACATATAGTTGTATTGTATATAAAAAAAAATCTTGATGGTGGTGGCTAGTGATCCGACAATTGGGGAAATAATAATTCTAAACCTCCTTAGTCTTGTCTCAGATTTCATCCTTGTTAGTTGATAATTTTACTACTTTATAATAGTTGTTAGTTAATTAGTTAGAAATAAATATTATAATCTCTATAATTAGGAAATTATTTGGACTTGTGTTTCTTAGCAATATTGAACAGTTGTAACTAAACCTTAGTTCTCTGTGGGATTCAACTTCGGACTTGTTAACCAGAATATATTTGCAACGACTGCTTAATCCTTTTTATAAGGCATAGTTGGGCGTGACCAAATTTTGGCGCCGTTGCCGGGGATGTATTGTATAAAACAAATCTTGATGGTGGTGGCTAGTGATGTAATTATGCTTAAAGAAGTATAGGGTAATATATATTGATGTGAAGGTGAAGTTTTGGTTTGACATAAGTATGGGCTCGAGTGTTAAGGTATATGTATTAAAGTGCTTAAGGGAGGTGTAGTCACTCATATCCAAATGTATCCTACCGACCCGTAGCCTACATTACAACCACTTAAAGTTTTACTTGATCTTAGAATGAATGAGCTCGATTAGTAGAGTATTACACTACTGGCAAGCCTATGGTGCATCATTGTGGCATATGAATGTTATTTCTGAGAGCGAGTGAATTCTTCCTATCTTGAGTTCCTACGGTCTTAAAATTTATTGTGTGTGGAACTAATCTCTTTTGTTGTATGAGGGCACGTGATTCATGATGGAGAGGTAATGTCGTTGACCTCCATGTTAGAGTAAGTAAATGAATTATGAATAATGCATGGTATTTGTGAGTCAAATCTTGAGGTGAGGATGTTACACCTTTGTGCTTAGTATATTTTAAAGATTCTTGGTGTGACGAGTTAAGGGAATTGCTTAAAAAGATCGTGTCTATAAGTGCAGTTTGATTGCTCGAGGACGAGAAATATTTAAGTGTTGTGTATTGATGTTCGGCTATAATTCCATATTTTAGTACATTATTTACCTTACATTTTAGGTGCTTTAATGCCAAACTATACTTTATTTGCGCGTAATGGAGTCTATTTTATGTGTAGGTACATCAGAGATGAAAGTAGAGCAAAAGGAAGATTTAAAGTATAAAGCGTGCTCGAAAACAGTTGGAAAGAAGAAAGAAAGAAGTGAGCAGCGAAAAAATGAAGAAGCCGGCAAAGCGAGCTATGGAGTTCGCGATAGAGCTGGCGAGACGAGACTCTGAGTTCGTGTGGGAGCAGGCGACGCAAGGGGTAAGGTGAGGATGAGCACGCTGAATGCCTGTCGCTGCACGGTCTGGGGCGAGATGCATCTCGCGTTTTACCTCGCGAGACACGGTATGAGGCGAGCCTGATCCGGATTTTGAAGGCTTATTTCGTCTCCTTGTTTGACTAGGACTTGGTCTATGTCATTTAAGTCTTTTCCTATACATATAAATAGACATTAAACACCACTTTTGAAGGAGTTTTGCGACCGGGGGCAAGAATAGCTCGTGGAACACCCGTTGGGGGATAGAATCATCGATTTCTACATTCCTTCATCTTTACTTTATAATTTATTTATACAA